ATTCTTGAGTTTTATGTGTCTAAGAGTGGAACCCCACAAGTGTTTCAAATTGAGTTCTTAAAAATTTCGACAGCTGTTTACCCAACATAAGAAAAATCCAGAAAACGCTTGGAGAGATTTTTATTTTGACTTATAAAACTATTTTGATGGGGTCTTAAATAATCAAAGGTCTCAACATTTGAGCAATTAAAGAAATTTATACTTTCAGAGCAAATTAAGAAGAAAGCCCTTCCAAATTATAAAGAACATTTTTTGGATGACTGGAGTGAGTGGAACAACCAACTTTAGCTTGCTGACAAATTAGATGTGCATAAAGAAGTTAGGCATGTATGAAATAAAAACATTAGTAAGGAGCCCGTAAGTTTCAACAACAAGATGGTCCCAAAAAAGGGGCAATTCTTAACATATTGAGAATGCCACATCAAGAGCTAATGCAAAAAGTGCAGATTGATCATCTATTAGTTGCTATGGATGTGGGAACTCAGGCTTTAATAAGGCTAAATGCCATGTCTGCTCTCTCCTCTCAAGAAAGCAGAATCTGATTTTAGAGCTATATACTTTTGGACATTTTCTGTTGAGGAATCCCAGATGACTCTTTTGAGAATAAAAATAAAGGTTTTAACCAGAATTGTATATGCTGACAACACTTGAGCCAGCCACACTATAGTGAGAAAACCCTTATACTGTCCTTTGAGAGAAAGAGGAATAGAATTTGGGAAAACAAGTATGAATATTACCTTCGTCTGTGGTCTCCAGAAAGAAACTGAAGCTTGTATGATATAAGTAGATATTAAAATTGAAGGAAGATCATTCTGAATAACTTTATGTGTGTTATTTATAAGCCAAAGATAACAGAATGCTCTTTATTTATGACAAAAGAGAACATAATGCTCTTTGGCAATGATTTTTTACTTAGTGCTGGAATTGTTTTAGACCTTCCAAATAATAGATAGTATTTCCATGACTACCATAAACAGAAATTTAGCTGTAGTGATGATGTGTTCAAACCATCCGAGCATCCAGAAAATAATGCAGAATTCAATAAGTTGTGATTAAGAGAAAATGAAGGAAGATATTTAACTGAAAACCAAAGGGAAAAATTGCTTTGTTAACGAGATACGAGACTATGTTCCAACCAGGTGAGAAGCAACTCCCTATATTGAACACATATGAGTACCGGGACTAATTCTCCAGGAATATTTCTCCAATAATTCTCCGTATCAGAAGTATAAAATAGGAAGGATATGTAATGAAGCTTGATGATCTGCTTGAAAAGAAAAGAACAGAAGAATGCAAGTCTCCATATGCTGCACCAGTGGTTCTTGTGCCCAAAATAAACGGAAAATTCTGAATTTGTGTTGATTACTGAGGGCTGAATGCTGTTACAATGTCAGACTGATATCCTTTACCTAGGATAGATGACTTACTGCATGCTGCTAAACATACACCATATCTTACAAACATTGTTGTGATCTGGGTACCATCAAGTTAGCGTCTGCCATACACACAGAGACAGTTTGTCCTTTTGGAACTTTTTGGTTCATTCGAATGCCTTTCAGACTGAAAACTGCTCCAGCCACTTTTCAGAGATTAATTGATAAATTACGAAGCAGCTTGAAAGATATGCTTGTTCTTTCTTATAGATGATTTTATAATAATATGAGAGATTTTTAAAAAAATACTAGAAGCAGTTTTTAAGAGACTGTTGCAATTTAAACTTAACACAAATCATGAGAAATGGAGTTTTGCTTGCAGTAAAATGAAATATCTTGGTCAACCGGATTAATGGTGAAGGAATAGAAGTTGATTGAGAAAAACCTCTGCTATACAGAAGATGCCTGCTCTAAGAAACATGAAATAAGTGCAGTCTTTCTTGCTGACTTGTCCCTAGTGTAGAAGATTGATAACGAAATTTTCAGAGATAGATAGATCTCTAAGCAATAAGAAGAATGTAAGTTGGACATAGGGATCAGAAGAAGAAAATTCTTTCCAGGCATTAAGACAACTTCTTGTTAGCTTTACCAAAACGTAGCAAAGCCTTGTATTATTTAAACAAAGTAATTATGCTTTAGGTGTTGTGCTATTGCTAAAAAAAGGTTCATAGGAACATCCAATAGAATACGCTTGGCGTTTGTTATTAACTGCCGAAATAACTTAATGTACAGTAGAACTAGAATCCATTGCTGTTGTATGGGCCTTGAATAAATTCCGTGGCTATATTGATGGTCTGGAATAGATCCATGGAAGAGGACATCCCAGGAAACCTATTGTTGCTTCCTTGTTGAGACAACATTGGAGTTAGAGGGAGGGCTGTAACAAATCGAAAACCATATTAACTTTTCTCCCCACATTTTGAACTCATCTCACTCTTTGCTCTCCCCCAAATTTGAATTTCAATTATGTTGTTATTAGTGGAGAGCCAAGAAAAAACGACTGCATAGTTATCTTCGGAGGGACCATAGTATAATGTTATGTAATCCTCATTGATCCTTAAATATTATGCTTTGTATTTATGTATATATTTGCTGTTAATATTATACTGTGTATGTATATATTTTATGTTTAAAAGAAAATTTTTAAATATCAATTTGTGGAGTGTTTATTTATATATTTATTTAAGTAAGGAAATATACGTGCCTGTTATAAAAATTATTATTTCCAAAACTGATAAGGATGGTCATATAATTGATATGGGCAAAAAATTTACATTAATGAAATTATACATCTGATAAGTTAAGTCGTAAGTTTCTTAATATGTAAAGATCCTTCAGTTTCTGATTTTTTGAAAGTTAAAACCACTGTACAAAACAAGTTGTTTCATGTGTTCTCAACTCAGTTAAAAAAAATCACTTGTTCTACTTATTGCTAACTGTTCTAGTTTTTATGCTGTTCCCAAGTTCAGGAAATTGGAATTCCACTTTGTCTTGTAGTTTCAAATTTAGGAACTGCATCATGCTCTTTAACCAAAAATTTGGTTTCCAGATTTTTTTTTTTTTTTTTTTTTTTTCCGTTAAGCTCTGATAATACTTAATGCAAAAAATTGTTTTGGAGTTCTTAAAGATAAGATATTCTTCTCTAGTGGTCAGTTGTAGTTTCTTTTGATATTAAATCACTTTTTACTAATGTTCTTTTTGATGATCATTAAAATGTCTTGAAGCCTGACATTCCATTTTACACATTGAAATTTAGGAATTACTTTCTCTCATTACAATTGTGCAAGGACTCTTCCAGAATTATTACTGTCACATGGAAATATTTAATGTGTTTTAATGATATTACATACACTATTTTGAGGTCAAATTAAGGATATTTAATAAATCTTGTACTTGTCATGTATTCAACCCAGTCTTTCAGTTCACATTTGAAACCAAATCAAGTAACTCCCTTCTTTTACATAAAATTCTAATTTTCCTCATTGGATTAGCTTTCAGTACTTTTTGCTTCCTTCCCTATATCATCTTGCTAAACAAAATATTGCTTCTTTTTTACTGTTATGCATTCTTTGTTCTTCACAAAATTTTCTTTCTTGGGAACTCAATTATTTGAAATCGTTTGCCATTGATAGAAGATTTTCTCCCATGATCATTGATAAAAGCCTTTTTAATTAAAATTTTTCTTCTTGCAATCATAAAAGACATTCAGATTATTAGAAATACCTATAAAAAACTTTGTTAAATATTTCATCTTTCTCTCAATAGCAAAATTGCTTAAATTTGTCATAAGCTAAACTTTCAGTTTATTCATCTGTCAGTAAACTTCATTTTTTGATTCTTAATCATCGTATCTCTGATTTTAATTCTTTGGAAATTTACAGCATACCTTGTAAATGTGGGTAAATGTGTATCAGCCATATTAAAACAGTATTAAAATTTTAGATCAAGGAGTGCAAATGCTTTGCTCAAAAAGAGGAAACAAATAAATCTTTGATAGCTGATTGTAGCTGGTCACTTAAACAGAATGTTTACTTTGGTTCTGCAAAATTATTCACAAAACTTCTTTAGTTGGTGAAGTGAATTTTGTTGAAACCTTTCACATTCAGTAAGATTTATATTTCATTAGTATTTTCCATTGCAAATGACATTATCCTCATTTTTGCTCTGCTCTTCTCACTGTTTTGCATATAAAATGGTTGTTGCTTCTTTGACATTTACAGTTTTTGCCCCTTCCTGAAGAAGAGGGACTCATCTCAAAATTGGGAGAGTTTTATTGAAAATATTTGCCATTCGAAGGTTGCTTTTTTACATAATTTTAAATTTTTCATTGGTATATTTCTGATCAAAGTAATTTTAATTAAGTAAAAAGTATGAACTTTATTTTGAAGAATTTTTTTGTGTTGGGTGTATTTTAGAACAAGAGTATTATAATATTTATATGCTTAAATTAATGAATAAATATTTGTTTTCCTCTGAGCCTTTGTAGGACATATAACTATTAAGATTATGCTGTACTGATGCTTTAAAGTTAAAGCTAAGCTTTTAAAGGATAAATTTTCTAGTTACCGGCTTAATGTTTATTTGCTAGTCGTGGCCCTTTGATGTCAATACCTGAAATATATCTTTTTCCATTTAAACTGCATAATTAAAAATGTTTTGAATAAAGCTAAGTAACTTTTTATATTTTTTTAAAGTTTCCATTGGTTTAGAAATATTTGTCAAATCTTTAACTACATACACATATTAAAAATAAATAAATAAATAAATAAAAAATAAACCCTCACTATTCACCATCAGAAATATTACATATTTTATTATTTCTTTTCTAAATTCTTATGAAAAATGTATTTTCTTGAATAGTTTAAGGGATTTTTTACATTAAAAACTGGGAATGTATTGTAATATATTGTGAACTAAAAAACATTTAAATGAGGCATATATTTTAATGTGAAAAGACTGTTGTTCCATTTTCTTTGGAGATTTCTTTACTTTTTGGCTGTGACACATTGCATTATACTTTTTGTTTATGATTTGTATGTTGTATTTCATTAAATTTAATTATTACAGACTGTAGACGTAGACATACAAGTGTCCTTGTTCCTAGTAGTTCTTATATTTCAGAGTTCTCTTCAACTCCAGTTTCTGTTGGTAAGCAAATTTCAAATATGTTTTTAAACAGTTCTGTGAATAGATGCATATTTCATATATAAACTTCATTGTATGACATTTGTCTGAAATGGTTCCCCTTATCAAGTAATAAAAATACTAGGTAAATATATGAAAGTTTTCTCAGTTTCAAATATGTGGATTAAAATTGTCACTAGGTGCTTTTGTTCAGTTTATAGTATATAAAATTTATTTAAAATCGAATATATGTATATATAATAAAAGAAAATTTCAGAGAAGTGTTGATTTAGGAATGCTGATACATAAAAACCCAGAAATACTGATAGTAAAGCACGTAGATCCATGTTGAAGAAGAACAATTCTGTTTCTCTAGAATGCTGAAATCTTGAATTCCTAATTACTAAGAAACTTGGTAGTCAAGGTGGTTTAATTCCATTTTTATTTCCAATTGACATTTGTGGCCACAATTCATTTGGCACTTTAATCATGCATATTCAAGAACATTTACATTTTTTATAATGTTGTGATAGGAAGAGAGTGAAATTATGTCCAAGCAGCATAGAGAAAGAAACTGAAGTGCGTAGTTATCCAATAATGGAAGCTTATGAAGAATAAGGTTTTGGTTTGAGTTAGAAAGGTTTCAGTTCTCAGAGTTTAGGTTTCCAATTACTATGTCATTAGTGCTACTCAAGCTACAGGGCATAGATTAATCTTGAAATGATGCAGTCCAGTGGAGTTATTATGATTTTTAGAATAGAGAAGGAGAATTAAGGGGTTGCCATTAATTTAAATTATAATTTTGATAGATATATATATATATGTATATGTATATATTTATTTACTAAAGAAATATTGATTTTATTCTTTCCTAATATAAATTTAGTAGAATGTATCAAAGTGAGGGAACACAGAAGTAGGAAATTTAATTCCGAAAACTGTTTTTTAAAATTGTTATATACATGTAGTTGTATATTCTATAAAAAACATTTTATACTATAGTTTTTATTCTTTCATATGTTTATTACTTTAATAGGTACTTTTCTTTGTTACTTTAATAGCAAAAATTTACTTAAATATTTCTAGAATTTAGCAAATTTCTCATAATGGGCTTAGAACAACTTCTGTGTACTGTAAAATATTACAACAAAATCTTAAATTTGCCGATTTATACCAGAACTTTGCTACCATTTTTAAATTTATTTTCTTTTGTTGTTAGTATCTTCACATCTTTGCATTTGGTTCCCCTGCAAAAGTAAATTATTTTTAGATATAAATTTTAAATAATATCATAAAATAAATGTAGTATTGCAAAGACTACATACTCTTCATAATTTTGTTTTTAACTGAAGGAAATTTTATTTTGGAGAAAACTAATAAGAGAATTAAAGTTAACTTTATTGACAAAGGGAGCACATGACTCAATAAATTCACCTAAACCCTCTGCATAATTATAGAAGACCATTGTGAAATACCATGTTATACCTCTCAGTAGCATTTCATCTCATTACCAGGAGAGTTGAGGTGAAAGTTCTAACAAGGAACTATCGGACTTCTTGACAATAATCACCATAAAATCTTCAAAGATGATCAAACATACGAACAAAACAAAGGTACAAAGTATGAGATTTCACGATCACTAGCTGCCTCAAAGCAAGGAGTATAAAGTAGTGCATGTACCTGCAGTATTTTCAGAAATAAATGAGGAAGCATGAAGTATCTCTTAGGTATTCTGTCATCAGTGAGTCCCATGTAACACATCTTCTGGAATTTGGTGTACTTATGCAGACAAATGCATGCCAACTGTGACAGTATGCCACATTTTGCAGGCTTGATTATGGTCTGAATATAACTGGAATTCCAGATTTTTTTACTTTCTGAAATCCAAAGTTTTCTTATCTGAGAAACTATGTTCAGTAACAGTTATGTTTCATAAACTGTATGTTTCAGAATTGCATGTACCATGTTGTTGTGTGGGCATGCAATCTTGAATAATGTCTGTGATTATTTTTACTGGTGTAGATAGAAGTTTTAAAAATTGTTGGAAATTCTGGAAAAATTAGTTCATTAGGAAAGGAGTTTAAACGTGTTTTGAAAAAGGTATATTTAAGAATGAGTTGATTATATCCAAAAATCTGCATTAAACATGCTAAGAGTCCATAAAAGGCTTTGCTTCTGACAAATTTCAAGGCATCGATCTTATTTTGTAAGGTAAAATACTTTCATTGTTTTAAATTAATTAGCAAATAATTTGACAGATGTCATTTCAGAACATTAAAATATTGCTGTTAGACCAAGGAGTCAGAAACTCTCAAACAGATAGGCACTTGTTTGTTATGACAGCAGAAAAATATACATTCTTTTGCAAAAAAATCAAAGCACCAAGAAGGACTTTTGCGATCCTGACGAAATTTGTTATGCAAAAACATCTTGATCAAACATGCAAATGATCAAAGTTTCAAGGCAAAAGAACAGGAATTGCGATCATAGCGTGCATTTCTACTGCGCAATTTGCAAAGTATAAAACCAGTAACAGAGGTGGAAAATTTATCTTTTTTTGTTGTGGCCATTGTAATTCCGTAAAGAAGCAACTAAAGATGCCATTACAACGATATTGAAGACCTTACAGAGAACTAAACGACTTCGAACGTGGTTGCATTTTAGGGTTGCTTGAAGCTGGATGGTCATACTGAGCAATAGGTCGCCACCTGCAGTGTACAGACTCTGCTATGCAAAGATGTTGGCAACAATGGTTACTACAAGGAAATTGCCATTTAAACAAAGGCTCTGGAAGGCCAAGGATTACAAATGCGAGTTCAAGATAGGATGATTGATCGCCAGGCCCGAATCACCCCAATGGTATCATTGTCGAATATTCAACATGCTACACACACACGTCTATACCTCTCGTGGTACCGTCCACCATCTCGCAGCACTTGTCTGAGGTGGGGTTATGCTCTCAGAGGCCTTTAAGACGTTTGCCTGTGACCCCACAACATCGGCAGAGTATGTCTGGAGTAGTGTCGCAGCCGATCATCATGGCTGCCATCAGCCTGGCATTGTATAGTGTTCAGCAATGAATCTTGCTTCAATCTTGAAGCAGATGACCACCATGTTTGTGTTTGGAGAGGATGGGGCCAGTGGTCCCAATCAGCTTTTGTTTTACAATGGCATACAGCCATAACCTCTGGTGTGATGGTGTGGGGCGCTATTTCTTATGACAACAGGTCATCTTTATTCATCCTCCGTACATCTTTAACAGTTCATCGATATGTTGATACCATTCTATGGCCGGTTGCATTACCCTTCATGTCATATCATCCTGGGGCCATGTTCCAACAAGATAATGCCAAGCCACGTACCACTCACATATCTCTGGACTGTCTCCATGCAGTTGATACTTTTCCTTGGCCAGCAAGGTCACCAGACCTTTCACCAATCGAACATGTCTGTGACATAGTAGGCTGCCAGATTCGGGCATGACAAAATATTGCAGATCTGGAGCAACCTGATGAATGCCTGGCAGAATGTATTGCAGGATGACATTAGAAACCTCTAACACTCCATACCTCTACGAATTCAAGCATGCATTGCCGCCAGATGTGCTTTGACCAACAACTAATTTGAACACTCAATGGGTGATTGTGAGCCATGAACGGGTACTATGACCTTTATTTTTTAATCATTTTATTATCTGTGTTTGAACTATACACATATTCAGTTTCATGAAAAACAACCACTTCCTTCATGGTGCTTCGATTTTTTTTTTTTTTTTTTTCAAAAGAGTGTAGTATTGTAAACTTGGGGGCTGAAGTATTCAGGTTAAAAGAAGCTGAAAAACAGAAATACCCAGTATTGACAAAACTGATTAAATGTGTTTAGCTTGCTTTCATTTGATCTACATTTAATTATTTGAGTGATATTATGACTGAATACAGAACATCCTTGAATACTGATAGCCTAGCTGTTATGAAGATATTTTTACATATTTATGTATGTATGTAAAAATATTTTGCTGTTATATACATAGTTTTGTTTAATGAGAATAAATAATATAAAATATTATTGACATTAACAAACACACAACACATTAAACAAAAATATGTGTGTGAAGTTTTTTCTTATCAGAAATCTCTATTAAGACCCTATTGGTAAAGATATTGGGGATAATTTGTGGACTAGCTGGACAACTTCCCAAAATTCTTTACATTCCACAACACATTCTCTTCCTGCTAGCAGTTCCTTATCTCAACATCTTTTATATATGCATACTTCAGGTTCTAATCTAACACTTGAAGGGTTAGGTGGAATGTCATTGTCTGCAACCAAGTGTCATGATGTTGAAGGCCAGGGATTCCTAACTGTTTTGTTGCCCTGAACCCTTTTAAAAGAATTGTTTTTTTCATCAAGCCCCTTCCGATTTTTTCTATAATTTGTAACATACAGCATAATTATGATACAAGTAATTGCACATAACTACTGAAAGATAACAATTAGGCTAAGAATATAAATAAAGGTTTTAGAAAAAATAGCTTATTAAATTTATGTTTTTTGTATTATTTTTTTTGGTATTATTATTATTATTATTATTAGTTTTATAAATATAAACAAGTTTCAGAAGCAAAATCACAGATTCTTATTGCAAAAATGTTCAGTTATAATTAATGTAATGGTCACGCGGAATGTGTTGATACAGTTTTTTTTAATATTTGACTTAAAATTACTTAACTGAATTCTTAAATCACCTCATTCAAAAATATTCAACCTGTTTCTTTTTTTCATAACAAATTATTGACTTCACTGAAGCCTGTTGCCATGAAGTAAGAAAAGCGAAAAGACAATAATAAGTTGGTTTGGTAACTTTTATTTTGGGTTATTTTTCTCAGATGACTTTAAAATTCCGAAACTTCGTGTAGCCATGTATTTTGAATAAGATCTGAATTGGAAGGATTACATTTATGTTGACGAAAAATTAACGGTCAGTTTTTTTTAAATTATTTTTTTTAATCAATAAGATTTTAATTATGCCAATCAGTTACCAGTGCATTTTCAGTTATTCACCACTTAATCATCATTGCCCTGCTTTAAACTTTCATCAACCTGCGGGAAGGCAATATCGACCCCATCGCGGAGCTCTGATATTTTCACTAACCCCTCAACATATATATATATAATCATGTATGTATGTGTATCACATTAATATTCTGAATTCGTTGAAATTATGTCATATTTTTTTTTCATGGTAGCTTTTAGGGTTTTTGTGATGGGGTCACAATCACCTTTGCTTTTGTTCATTGCTGTATTTTTAAGTAATTTACATTTTTGAGTAATAGTTATTAAGGAGTTGTGTTGCCTTGTAAAAAACTCCCAAATAAAATGCTTGTCCATTTGTGTTTGAATCATGTTAGGTGATACTTCTGTGTCGTTTCTGTCATATACCATAATATGAGATTTACATGCTATTTGTCTAATCATACAACATACTTATTACTCCAAAGTACTTGGTAGTGGTCGAACTTGCCTGTGTCATCATATTCTCAAACAATAGTCAGTTCTGTATGACACACATGCTGCATGCCAGGAATGTTCATTATCATACAGTGGCCTTATAACTCAGAGAAATATACTGTGTTTGCCCATCCATGGCTCCAAATATGCTGGCATGCCTGCTACTTTTTATGCCCTTTTCTAATGGTGGGGACTTCAGAATGCCATACTTTGCACTCCTTTTTTGTTTATATGCTTAATCATACCTAAAAATTTCCTGATGATTATTATCAGGAAGTCCGTTAAAATTCTTTGTTACTGATATTTATGCTTTTGAGTTATTTTTGTTAGTGTTTCATTTTCGGCACACTAAAGCTTTTCAAGCTAAATTTTTCTAATTTTTTTTTTTTTACTACAGATATCTGGGAAATGATGAATTTCTCAAAGACATTTATGAGAAGCAAAATGAGATACATATATATTATTGATTGGAATTGTTAAAATAGGATGTTTAAAAAATGTTTCATATACAAAATAAGACAATGCAAATTGCTTTTTTTCAATATAGTATAAGATATAAAAATTCTGTATCATTGCACTGCAGTAAGAATGTATGTCAATGCTTTCTTTTCATGGCAAAATATACTGAACTTACAAATTGCATTTTTTATATTTTAATTCTCATAAATTTCACTTGGCAGTATCACACATGTAAACTGAATAAGGCATAAGCTGAATAATGCCTTTTCATCCTTCAAAAATCAAGGGAATTTAAAAAAATTAAATTCACTTAAAAGAATAGAAATAATAAGAATTGAAAAAATTAAGCATAAAAAATTAATGTTAACAATTAGTTAAACTAATTTTAATAAATTAATTTAGAATTAGTTTAATTAACAATGTAAAATTAATTCTTATCAGACAAGAAAATACTTGAGTTTTTTTTTCTTTTTCTGAATGTGATCTTTTTCTTGACAGTTGCATAAAATTAAGCATATAGCTAGTAAATTTTCCAGTTTTGCTTATAAACTGGAGAAGAAACTTAACTTCTTTTGGATCATTATAAAAAAAATTTTTAAATATTTTATTGTGCTTTATCCTCATACTGTTTATTTTGAAAACTTGTCCAACTTGTATTTTAAACTATGTTATTTCCTGTATTTTAAAAACATTATCTTGCTTTATAATTATATGGCTGTATTATTTAACTATTTATTTATTATTAATTCTAAATTTATCTGCTCATTCAGTGTTCAGTGTGAATGAAATATGAAACAAAATATTCAAGCATACTTTACAGTTTAATTTGCATAATTCTGTAAATGATAATTTATTAAAATATTTTATCACTAGTCTATATATATATATATATATATATATATATATATATATATATATATGCATGCGTAATAATTTAGGTTTAGAGAAGACACAGGTAATTTCAGTTATGATTTAGGCTGTAAATGAGAATGGCACGTAGAATGAGTAATTGCATGATTTCAGTTAATTACAATTTAACATATTTTATTTCTGAACAAAACAACTGTTAGTACACATATTCTGATTTATATATCATTATGAATGCTGTCTGCATCCATTCTCGATCACATTTGTGGATTTTTATGTTATGATTATAACATTACAATTGATGAAATAGAGACATGAGTCATGACATATTAGCTGGAATAGCTGGAAGCAAGCAAGCAGCAGGGATGTAGGATGTATGACATGCATTAATTTGGAAATGATGCAATTTAGATAGATTTATTATAAACAGTTACTATCTTTAGGGCAGATAGAGTAAATAACCAAATTAAAGTGGAGTGTTAAGTGACTATTGAAAATTACAGTTAGAATTTTATGTACTTTTTTTATCCTATAAACACACACACACACACTCACATGTTATAATGACATGCTCTTACATGTTGTATGCTGTTTACATGTATTTTGAAGAAATTTTTTTGTGCCATTCATTAACTTATTTTTGGCTGGAACATTTTTAAGTTTTATGTATTTAAAAGTATAGCAAATTAATTTTTATTGATTAAAAATACTTAAGGACTTTCTTAAGTGAAATATTTTCCCATCTTGCTTAATACTTTTCTTCAGTTATTAGGCGATGCATATTCTATATATATTTATCTGACTTTGAGAACATTATTATACATAAAATTTTCAAAGCAAGATCTTGATAAGTGTTTAAAAGAAAATTATTTCACAAATAAAAATTCATAAGACTTCCTCTTCTTGAAAGTACTTTAATTACTGCTTAGCAATTATTCATTTGTATCCTTAGTGTGCCACATGCTGAGGAAGCAGAAATATTTTATTTAGTCTAACTATTTACCAAGCAGAAAGTAATTATTATTTTTGCTCCAGTAATTATTATTCATTTCATAAATGAAGTGATTTTGTTCTGAACAGCTGGTTTCCTTCAGTAGAATCTTCATAATTGCATATAACTTCTTCATTTGCTGAGTGTAATATGTAGTAACTGTCATTATTGAGTAGTATAATCCTTTAGGATAATTTGAAAAGATGCCTGTTATTTAATTATGCTGATAATCTAAAGCGGACATTAACCTAATCCTACAATAAATTAAATAACCGTTTGTAATAAAGAAGATGCATAAACTCTTTTATTGGTTATAAAAAGCAGATACTTCAAAGACTTTATCAAGTAAATTTTAGTTTTGCAGTTCCCAACCATACTTAACTTGGCATTATAATAAATGCAAATCTTTCAAGATATCATTCAGTTCTTTTGGGATGGTAAGATAGAACTGGGTTTTGATGGAGATAACAGTTCATGCCTTATTAACAAATTTTCAGCCCTATAAATTTCCATTTATTCTGTCTGAAATATTTATGAATGACTGGTACTGACAGTTTATTGTAACAGCCCCCCAAAGAGCCGAATTTAGATGCACAGCTTCTTCCTCTCTCCCTCAAGTTTTTAAAGAAAATTGATAAATTTTTGTGAGGCAAAATTGATAATTATATATATATATAGTTTTACGGTACCATTTCTGTGAAAAATAGTATATAAATTTTGGTGCATTTCTTGAGTTTATTTTTTTATTTCATTGATATTAAAAAAAAAGCTAAAATTGAATATATATTATCAGAACACTTTTCGATAGAGTGGCATTTTTATCAATCATTAAAATGAAATTTCTTCTTTTTAATTTAATAATTATCAAAATAATCTTAATTGAGAACTTCTGGTAGCATAACATGAAATTAGAATGCAAATTTCTTAATATTGAACAGGGATGAAAATGTTTCATATTATTTAAGAACCAGAAGCCATATGAGGATCACATTAGACATGGAGAGAAAAAGTTGGTCAGTAATTGTAAAAGCAGTTGAATTAGCATTAAAATATTGCATTTGTTACAGGTTTAAAAACAATGTTGTATATATGAAAATCAGGTATTAAATAATGTAAAATGCATTTCCAACTTAAAAGGAATGCTTAAAGTTCCATGGTAATGAGTTGCATACTGAGAGTGATGATCTATCTCCACTGTATCCCAACCATGTTTATTAAAATCTAGGTCAGGTGATGTGACTGACCAATCCAAATGGCTCATGGTTTCTCTCTTTAGGTGTTGGAGTGTCAAGACAACTTCAAACGGATGAACATAATTATCCAATAAAATTGAATCAGGATCCATTGGTTCAAGAAATGGACAAATATAAGCAACGAAATTCTTTTTCTGATACCTTAAAGCTGTTACATTCTTTCCTGAGAAGAAATGAAGGTCAGTGTGGCCATTGATGGTAATTGCCAATCCATGCAAAAAGCTGCTAGCTTTAAAATTATTGCAATCCTAAATATGCCAGTCATGTCTGTGTACGCCTATGCTTCCTCTGTGTACTCTTATAACTAAAATGCATATGTGTGAAATTGGTGCATTAGATTTGTATAGTATCATAATAGAAGCTTAGTCGTAGGTTGCAATAATATCAGAAAAGTCTGCATAAACCTGCCTCCCACCAAGCTTTTGTGTTGTTACGGAACTTTTAAAGGTGCATCTTCATGCAAGAATTCAAGAACTTTGTTAAAATATATTTTGAAATTTAATGACAATACTAGAGCTCATCTGAATACTTGATTAAATAATAATCTGTAACTGACTTTCCATATAAATAATATGGTCTGCAAAGCTATTAAATAATGGTTTTTAAATTTATAAATGTACAGTTTAAATAAGAATATGACATGGGTTTATTATAGTTCACAGATATCTTTCTATACCAATACTAATTTATTATCTTTATAATAAATTAACTTATTTTGTCTGATAGAATCAGTAATATTTAAGTATCATCATCTGTTTTCAGAAAATATTCATATGTATTTTCTAGCCATTGAAAGCCTTTGATTGTAGATATCTTTTCTGAAGTGATAGCATATTACTTTTCCATTGGTAATAAGCAAAGCTGAAGAAATACTAGAACTTCTATGTTGTTAGATTGTTATGGGTTTTAATTAACATGTTATAAATCTTCAGGAAAATATGTCAGAATTATGCACTAAATATACTGCTTACTGTAACAGCTGGAACTGCTTTTCTAGTCAGCAGTGTATTTAATGAAATACAAGCTATCAGTCATGTTTATTATACAGATAATTTATGGTATGGACGATATTACAGTTAACTCACAAGGAACATATTAACAGACTTAGTTAAAAAAAAAAAAAAAAAAAAAGTTAAGTCTGTTTATTGTAGAATGTTTGAAAATTACTATTACAAACCATGGGAATAGAACAAAATTTCTATCAAAAAAAGAAAAAAGAAAATGTATGGGATAACTGCAATACATAGTTACAATATATGGAGGTGGTTTTTATATACAGTAGTGTGTAATTGAAGTATACATAATCTGGAATAAAATGTTATTAAATAATCTATTGAAAGCAAGTTACTAAATCATAAAAGTAAGTGTACAGACGTTAATCATTTATTTACCATTGATTCCTTATGAAGTTCAAGAGTAATATAAACAAAAAAATTTTTTTTTCTATTTTGAAGTTAATTTTTTCCATTTTAAATACTAATCATATGTACGTAACCAAATGAATTTATTCACCAAATTAAAGTTCTAAAAATGCATGGTGTTCTGCAGTTCACATTTTTCATTTTGTATAATATCTTTCAAATAAATTCGAAGGCAATAAGTGGGTGTCTAAGAATATGTAAAAATCTATCAAGTATTCTAACATCAAAGATAGTAGAAACATTGATAGCATTGAGCTATTTGATGAACTGTGAGTAGCTTCCATCTCAGTACCAGAAAATACATAGCTGTTGTCTGTGTCAAAAATGATTTTTTTATTTTCAAAATATGAATTGATTCAATACTACATGGCACTGTTATAGTGATTGCTGGCATGGTCAGTATAGTTGATATGGAGTGTTAGTCTATGCAAGTCCGTAGTGCTGAAGTAGGAATTATTAAAAAAAAAAAAAAAAAAAAAAAAAACAGTAATTAAACCATATTGGTAGAGGGATGGTGCCCACGTCTTCTGTCGCATGTGAATGCTCAATGGTACATGGTCATGCTTAAAATACTTCAACTGTCAACAATCTACGAATCAACATTCAACATATATCACAGGTAATGACTGAAAAAAACATTGTAGTTTTATTCTTATACACTTTCAACTCCTATCTTAAACTCAATTCCTTTAAAAGAATTTTACCTTTTGCCTTCTCTTAATTAAGACTCATGATTATTAAGGCCTTCCTCTAATTTGTTATTCGAATGAAAAAAAAAGTAGTAACCGTAACATCGTAAAACTGAAATCGATTGACCGATAAGATATACACGTTTCTGGTTAACCACGCTATTATAGGAAAGTCAGCTGAAAAAACCACGAGAATCAGCTCAAAAATCATTCCTAGGAGGTGGATAATTTGTTCCGTAAACAAATCATCAGTGTCTGATGAAAAATCAGCATCAGGCGTGGAATTGATTCCAATGGCTGTCGATGAAATACTCGGCAATAGGCCGTCACAAGATACGTATTTCTTTTCTTCCGTAAGTCGTCACAAAAATCATTGGATATTTATGACATCAGCTATAAATACGAAGCATTAATCCGTGAAGAGCACGCAATTGATCCAAGAGACACTGAAAAATATAACAGTTTTGGGTGAAAAGAATTCAAATACATATATATATATATATATATATATATTGTGCAGGCGACTGACTGAGTACTCATGCATGCAGTTGCACTGTGTGTTTTAACCTTTTTTGGGGGAGGCAGGTGTCTTACTGCAAACTAGTGAAAATGCTAAAAATTTACATGTTTAATAGAGTTGTTGTACATTAAATGACAAATGTTTGTTCACATCCATAGCAATCATTTTCGAGAGTTGGTATCTTGGTTGTGCTAAAGAAGTTGCTGCCATCAACGAAACACTTGAATGCAAGTGGACATTTATTCATTTCGATATCTTCCAAAATGAACAGTGTTGTCGACAGAGACAGACTTCTTAGAGACAATTTATATTGCTGAAGGAAGCCATCCCAGTATTATGGTGCTTTGAATTCTTTTAGCGATATATCTAGCTGTGGTGAAAACTGAAAGGGCAGATATTTGAATATTAGACCGCGAACAAGCAAACACTTTGCTTTTTAAAAAAATTTTTTTTTATCAGAAATCCATTCACAAATGTGTTCCAATTCAGGAAATAATGGTTGCTGACGCGATCCGCACTTAAGCTTAATGGCATTTTCCTCATCGACCTGTTGTCAGAGGTTATTGTACACTGATCGCCATTTTTGGACCACTCGTAGATCATGCTTCTCTTTGCAAAAAGATGTAACATTTGCATCCGTTTAGTCTTCCACAATTCCTTTCTCATTCTCGACAGAATAGCTCTTCCTTTTCGCACCCATTTTATCTCAGCATCAAAATTTATTATACTTTAAGTTTATTTTTAACTGCTAAATGTCGATGCTAAAGCATCATATTGAATACTAAAGATTCTAATTTGTCCATTTGTTCCAAATGTGCACGTGTGTTGCGTCTGCACTTGTTCATTCGACAATAAGGTGCCTGTCTTGGTTGATAATCTTAACTATAGGGCTTATTTTAGGAAAAGGTTTATATTATTAAGTTTCTGAAAAATAATACTAGGGCTTATTTTTTGATTAGGTATTATTTTCAGGGAAACACGGTATTCTCATTACCCACGATAATGAGTGGGTACTTTCAGTGTCATAAGGTATTAATTTCTGTCTTATATACTGCTCTCCAAAAGTTAAGGAACAGCATGTTTTCTGTGTCTAATTTGAGAATGAAATATAGAAAAAAGAAAATTAGAGGACATATTACACAGTTCAGACATATTACAATTAAGCACAGTTCTTAAATGAATGCGACATAAAATGTTTCTAAAGTTTAACACAAATATGAATTACAACAAAAAATTGCACTCTTGACAGAGAAATCGTCATGAAGAAACAGCACATTACAGTTTTTTTTTTGAGGAAAGATGTGGTGGTAACATTAAAAAATGAGTTCTAATAAAGAATGTGTCTACCCATAGCTGCAATACATTGGCAGCAGCGACGTTCCATGCTGTCAATTAAGTTGCTGGTCAGTGAAATGGAAAGGAACACCCAGACACAGAGTAATCCTTGTTCAAGCTCATCCAACGGCCTTGGAGGAGGAATTGAAGCAGAAACCTGTCTCCCAGGGTAGTCCAAAAGATGCTCTATCGGATTCAGGTCTGGGGATTGAGCTGGCCATTCCATCCGCTCCATATGGTGATCCTCACGATCTTCAGCAACCCGAGCTCGGTGCAGTTGCGCGTTGTCCTCAATATATATAAAAAAAAAAAAAATCAGGACCATTAGCGGCAGAATATGGGAGGATATATTGATCAAGGATCTCGTCACCATACCTCACACCGCTCAAAGTTCCTCCATGGAACACATGCAGATCAGTATTACCACCTAGCAACATCAGTTTGTGGCATCCCCATTTCCATCATCCGATCTCCCGCCACCTCAACGAATCGAGCAAACGACTTCTCCTGGACATTGATAAACTCTCCTTGATATTTTCAATGAAAATGCTAATAGCAATTGAAGATCAACATTCCTGAACAAAATTTACTACAATTTTTGCATTTTTTCTCCAACTCCTGTAAAAGTATTCATTTCTATAAAATAAAAGTGGTAGCTATAGTTTTGAAAAATATTTATCTTAAACTTCTGTACTCTGCATATAAACTATGAATTTAAATGTTACGGACATTTTTGTAATGGTGAACTTTGAAAAACATGCTGTTCTTTAACTTTTGGAGATCAGTGTATTATTCTGTGTCGATACAAAATTACCGAATTTAATTAAAGTTTTGTTCTATATCTTTTGAGGAGTATTTAAAAACATGTTTATTCTCTTAATTTTGAACGTAAATGTATGTTCCATTATTGTAATATATATGCTATATAATTGCTTCTCATCATTTTGTTTGAAATAATAAAACACTTTCCACGTAATTTTAATATCCAATTCAGTTAGCAATTCAGAAAGCTGTTCATAGCCGAAACTTTTGTTATAAATTATTATTTAGAAAAATTTTGAAATTGAAATTGTAATTAAATAAGTAAGAGAAAGAATTCTTTCTGCTTCTTTCTTTTGTTACTTATAGACACATATGCACATATATACATGTAATATTACTGCTACATTATATGATAACTGCATTATTATCCATTTGATAACTGCATTATTATT